GGGAAACGTTCAGGCTGTGTTTTCACAGCCTGAGTTTCTTCTGTGGTAGTTCAGGTGTTCCGGCTCTCCTCCCTTCCCTCCCGAGGGCTAGGGCTTGCTGAAGCGCTCGCCTTCCCTGCTGTGGACCTGCTCTTCTCCTGCTGTGGGTTGTTGCCCCCTTCCCACACTCAGAGCGAGCTCGTTCAGGGAGGCAACCTTCTGCAAAGCCCATCCGTGGACCAGACTAGCAGCTGGGTCTGGCTTAAAACCCTGCGGCAGCTATGATGAGGAAAATCCCATTTTCCTTTTTCTGAGACACTTTTCCAGCAGGGTTGGGTAAGCCCAGCCAGAGGCACTCTACAGAGGCAGGGAAGTGGGGGGTGATGGAGGAGGGAAGCAGGAGCTCCCAGTGGTGTTACCGCTGGGGAAGGCCTTTTTTTGCTGGCAGTTGGCAGAAGGACAAGAGAGAAGGAGACTTCAGAGTTCCCCCCAACAAACACAACCTTGAGCGCCCCAGGCTCATTGCAGGGACGTCTTGTGGGGCCGATGGGGTGTGTGTGACTGGCAAAGCACTGGTAGCTCCTTGCAATGAGATGAGCTGCGTTGCTGATGCTCTCAAACAGATAATGAGGTAGAGGATGAGCTTGTGCTGAGGGAAGCGTGGCTCAGGAGGGCCACTTTTGTTGCTGGCTCTGCTGGTTGCTCTCCACACGAGGTTTCCTCAAATGCACGCCTTGGCTGCCAGTAGCTGGTTCCTGGTGCGTTATGCCCATACCGTCCTGTGATGCCCTCTTTCCTGTGCATTGGTTCCTCCTTTGCTGGCCTGGGCGTTAGTGGCACACGTCGCCTCATCAAGACGGGGCTGAGCACCAGTCAGGGAAAGGTTGACTCACATGTGAAGGAGACTGTGAAAAGCTGAAGGCCATGTTCCCCCTGGGCAAAGAGCTCAGATCTTTACGGTGATCTTGGATAACATGTCTGAAGTCAACGCTTAGGGGGCATTTTTATCCCGGTTTCTGAAGAAAACGAAGCTTGTGCAACCTCTGTGTTTCATCCACCCCCTCTCTTCCCTCCACGCTCTTACACGGGTGTTTGCCAGCCGCCTTGGTAAGGCTGCATTGCAGGTCCTGTCTCAGTAAGACTTCCACATTTATTTGCCCGTTCCAACCATTTTTACAGTCGTGGAGGAGTTCCGGCTAAGTTTTGTGTAATTGGTGGTTATGCTGAGCAGGGGAGCATCCTGTGAAGGGAAGGGGTGGCAGTGTCAGCTCAACCTTATATTAGCCACCAGAGAATCCACAAAACAGGGCGCTCATTCATGGCTTGCCTTAGCAGGTCACCAGTAGCACTAAAGCTTAAGGAAAACCTTGCAAAATCATGGCAGTGGATGGAGATAAAGTTTGAACTGAGTCCGTTTCCAGGTTCACGGCCTGAACCACAGCCCTTGTCCTGCTCCGCTTCTCCTGTGTAAGATGAGGAACAAATCTCTCTCATCAAATGGGCAAACAAATAATAACAAGAAAAAAACAAAATCCCAAAGGTGTGTTTTGACAAAGCTTTCAGGGTTTTTTTTTTGTCGTCCGGGGGGTTTTGGTGAGCTAGCTGTCCGTCCCTCTTCGCAGAGCCGGCTCTTCCTCTCTCCTGGTGGGGTGTGCACGTGCAGGCGTGCATGCTCACACGGGGGTGAGTTTGCACGCACCCGGAACGCTCCACGGAGACACAACGGCTATACCTCAATTGGAAAGGAGACCCAAAAAAAAAAAAAAAAAAAAAAAAAAACCCACCCGCTCTGGAAAGGGCTGGCGGGGGCCTCTCCCGCAGGCTCGGCCACGGGCCGGGGGGGTCTGGGCGTGCGGCTGGCGAGTGCGGCTGTGCGTGCCTGTGCCTGCACGCCCTCGGCCGGGGGGCTCGGGGTAGTCACGGAGGTGAGCACACGGGAGAGCCTGCCAAGGAGGGGAGCGCGCTCTGCCTCGCTGTTATCAGCTTTGATTTTCTTCTTAACGCAGCGCTAATAACAGCAGCAAAAAAAGTATATATATAACTGGTATGTTGCAGGCGCTTGTTTTCTCACCGTGTTGCCTTTTCCACTTCGAGAAGCAGAATTCTTCCCCCGCCGAACAGTGGCAGACCTGGTTGTGGCAGCATAGGCATCGATCATCCATGTGCAGCCAACCCTGGTCGGGCAGTAAATGCTTCTATCGCATTTGCTGGGTGGATCATGTTCTTGGTATTTAAAACCTTAAGAAATGCAGAGGAAAAAATGGAAGTGTGTTAAAGTTTTTGTGTCCCTCCTCTGTAATTAAGAGATAGGGTCGCTGGGGGCTTCTCTGTACACAGACTCAAAAAAAAAAAATTTAAATCAATGAAACGTATGTATTAAAAATGCCTTATTTTGACTGGGTTAGCCTCCTCTCCAGGCAGGCTGAGATATGCCTGACTTGGGCGAGTTTTATTTTCTGCCGGGCACGAATGAAGCGAAAGCTGCCGTGGCTCACCCCCGCAACGTTTGTATGTGGGCTTCACAAGCCTCAGACCCCCTCTCGCCATCCCTTCAGGTGAATTCTGCTGCTCGTCCCCTGCGGACCAGCCCTGCGTCCCCGACAGCTCTCCTCTGGGAGCTGGAGGGAAGTGACTCTGATCCTCCTGAGATTTTAATGATGGAGAAAAAACGGTGGAGGGGTAACCTTTCTTTCACTCCCTTGTGAGCGAGGGAGCGAGGAGGCTTCCCTTCCCTTGGCAGGGCACCCTGCGAAACAGTTACTTTGGATTTTAATTTCCCCGTGCACTTCCTCCTTCCAGCGGGGAGGGCAGAAACCCCGGGGCAGCCGCTACGTGAGCCCTGCCGGTTTTATAGCCGGGCGATGTGTGGTTATACGTTAGCCAGCCGGGCCCGGGGGTGGCCGCCGCCAGCGGGTCACCTCCAGGTAAATAAACTAAGGTGTGGGCTCCGCTGCCGCCGCTCGCCCTGCTACGGCCTCGTTTCGCCCCAAAGGAGGGTGCGAAGGGGCCCCCCTGTGTCCCCAGCCGCCCCGGGCTCCTTCCCTGGCATCCCTGGGATGGGGTAAAGCGAGGAGGGTGGTCTGGATGCTGCCCTCCCCCCCAACTCCATCTCGCCCCGCTTTTCCCACGGCATGACTTCTCCATGTCCTTCGTTTTGGGGCGCTGCAGTGGGTACCTGATGCGGGGAGCTGCACCCCCGGCTCCCTCCTGCACACGCTTTGGCAGTTGAAATGCAGAAGCAGAGGCCAAAGTCTGCCTGCGCGGCAGCGAGGGGAGGATGTAAACCCAGCGCTTTATAATTATATTGTCGGCAATCGCACAGACCCTTGCCCGCGGACGGGGGGGAGGCAGGTCTTGTGGCAGCGCTGTTGGGAATCGAGGGGCAGAGACGCTTACAGGTTTGGGGTTGGGTTGGTGTTTGTTTTTTTTTGTTTTTTTTTTTTTTTTTTCCGTGCAAAATTTTGAAAAG